TGGACTCAATTTGCACTATTTCTGGCAATCTGCAAAGGCCCATAGTTTTTGTTGTTATTAATTGCTGTCAAATCAACCTCAATGTATGGTGACCCTATGAATGAGAGACTCCCAAGTCACCCTGTGACCAACTGCCCAACTCAGGTCTTGCAAACTTAGGGCTGTGGCTTCCTTGATTGAATTAGTACACCTTTAATGTGGTCTTCCTCTTTTCCTACTGCCTTTCATTTTCCTGAGCAATATTTTCGTTTCCTATGAGTCATGTCCTCTCATGATATGTCCAAGGTATGACAGCCTAAGTTTAGGGGTTGCAGACTGCCAGAAATAGTGCAAATTGAGTCCACTTTAAGGGTTAGGGTTAGTGCTAGGGAGTCATGGGAATTGTGTTTGTTTTTTTCTGAGACATTGAGCCTTCTCTGTCAGAGAGCTCTGGTGCCACAATAAAATACAGTTCCCATGATTCCCTAACCCTAACCCTAACCCTAAAAGTGGACTCAATTTGTACTATTTCTGGCAGTCTGCAACCCCCTTAGTCATCTTCTAAGCATAGTTCAGGCATGATTTGCTATTGAACCCATTCATTTGTCTTTTTAGCAATACATAGTATCTATAGAACTCTCATCCAGTCCCACATTTCAGATGAGTCTTCCTGTCTGCTTTCTCCACTGCTGCTTTCACACCCGTACATAGAAATCAGGGATACATTGCAACATCGAGACAAAAAAAAATTATTGTTTCTTTTCTTTCCCCCATTGCTCCTTTCTTCATGATGATGAAGTGAAGGAAGGAACAACAAGCTTTTATTTCAAACTTGTATTTTTGGCCACAGTGGAAACAGAATGTGAGAACAGTGATTACGCTTTGGACCTCTAGATGTTTTGGATTTCAGTTCCCAGGATCCCTGATTATTGGCCATGCTGGGTGGGGCTTCTGTGAGCTGAAGTCCCAAATTTTTAAGAGTCAAAGGTTGAGAATCTATAAGCTAAGCAAGTCAGTATAATTCTTTTTGAGTAAATGACAGGTTTAGAACACCAGCTAATCTGCAGTGAGAAGATGCCTCCATCCATTTCTGCATTCTAGCACTGTGAGAAGGAGGCTCTTCACTTTCCCATGCTGAATATATGTGTGTGCATTTGTATCTCTGCTTCAACAGGGCAGTTTCCTAAGGTGGCAGAAACTGTTGGGTAGAGAACAACAGCAAGCTTTTGTAGGACACAGCTCTACATGGCATGTCACCTGCCCTGTACCTGCTGTCCTCAGGCTCACTCTCCTCCTAGCAGTGCTTAAGTAAAAATTAACATACAGTGTTGTTAACTTTGATACCTGGAATGAGAAAAGAGAGCCATGTTGCAAGTGCATTGTGCGTCCTTCACAAACTCCAAGCAATATAAGGA